AAAAGTCAAGAACAAATTCTAGCTAAATTCCCTGTTACAAACTAGAATGTTTTGGAGGGAAGAATACACCAACAATCAGCACTAATACCAATCGTGACCTAGACCTGCCTCCCCCAGACATGGTGAAGCAGAAATATGATTACAAAGGTTTTAGGGGTAGTGGTGTTGCCCACCCTATAAGCATTCCTGTCCTTGGCATGAGTGCTTCTGGTGTTCTTATGGTGCAAATATCAGAGCAGGGTGCTGGGCAGGCACACATGTTCAGACAGGAAGAAAGAATGGATAGTGTTCCACTGACCTAGCTTTCAGGCAACAAATAAGACTGCCCCACCACAACATAGGAATTTGCTTCAAGAAAGCCTCCTAACGGTCAGGTAGTTTGCAGTGAAACCAAGCAAGAAGCTACAAAAAGGTATAATAGGATTCAGCTTCTTCCCTGAGGAAATCACACAAGTATCTTTCCATAAAACTCCAATCATGCAGCAAGTTTGACCCTCATCGCTCCTTAGCAGAGGAGGATCATTAATGGTGACATTTGGATCCCTTCATACACCTTAAGTTTTGAGTCAGAGTTGCATCAAATGATGGTGGTAGACTGCACAACCCCTCAAGTTACATGTTTTAAGACCAATGTCAATGGCAAAGTGATGAGAGAGGAGGAGACTAATCCAATGGCAAAGTTCCTAGCAAACAGTCTTTATGGTATCAATGTGACTGGCCATCCTGTTCATGATGCTGGATGAAGCCTAGTCACCCATTAACAGCCACCATCACTCAAAATGGAGAAGTGTTTTTCATAGCACTGCTACAGGAAGACTGCACAGTTGGAGAGGATTCAGCTCCAGGGTCCTTACAGATACATCTTGTGCCTTGATGCCATGCAGAACTGCAGCTATGCTGTAGCACCAAGCTCTGCTGATGTCAATCCTGCAACTCCCAGCAGCAAAGCTCACATCCCAGGTAGAGCACTGCAATTTTTAACAGGCACGGAACCAGTCATGACCTTTGCAATGACTGGTGATGGATTTTATGAGACTGATGGGACTACGCAGTCAATCAGTACTAGAAGAATTACTTGTTTTCAATAGGGTTAGAGCCAGAGAATATTTCCCTAGTGCTAACAAGTAGTCTGATTCGCCAAACGAGATCTCTCTGCAACCCCCCCACTACACTTCAGGAGTCTGAGATGGCACAGTCAGTGAGGAAGAAGGGAGACCAGACAGCATTTCCTGTGTCTGATGAGCAGCTCTGCACCAGATCTCAAGTGTGACAAGATTGGACTAAGCTGCTCTCTTCTTACTGGTTGTCAGCTCCACACTCAGAAGAGCTCTCATGAAGAACAAGTGGAAAAAACAAGGACATAAATCCTGAGGTTTAAAATCCTGCTCCTGCTACAGGGCAGAATATCACATGCATTACCCTCTGTGAGAGAAGAGGTGAAACATGTTCATGGATGAAATACAACCCTTACAGTCAGGGTATTAAAGAGGCCTTTGGCAAAGCCACCAAACCAGGAAACCAAGAAGAAACAAGAGCTAGAAAGATTCTATGCACAGACGTATTCAAACTTACAAGGTTTGCTAGCAGGAAACAAAATGGCAGAGAGCTTTTTCTGCTCTGCACCACACTTACCAGAAGCAGAGGAGATCTCATGAGAAAGGCATTATTCCACCACTGCTAGACTCTGTGTGTGCACTCTTGAGCAAGGAAACCACTACATTGTCAGACAGTCTGAAGAGCTTCCTCAAACCCTAAGTTTTCATGTGCAATGGGTCTTTCCGACTGATACTTTTCTTGGGTGTACAGGAAGAGGAGAAAAGAGTTAATTATATCATGACTTGCTGTATTGTCATGCAGCCACAACTAACTATGGAAAGATACTGCTGGGGTTGCCAGGGTAAGACTGCCTTTTTGGGCAGCAACACAATCTTAGATTAGACTAAGCTAGTCAATAAAGGTCTTGGCAAGACATTACAATACTTCAATAAGTACGATATGTCACCCTAATTACTTGTTACTGGGGACAGAGGGGAGAAGGCGCTAAATAAGGAATCAATATGGCCACCAATTTTTTAGGCTCCTTCATTATAAAGGGAAAAGATGTCTTCCTGCGCCACTCAACAAGAAAAGATATTGCAGAAAACCATTCAGGAGCAAGCTTAACTCTAGAAGTTATGAATTGTGTTACATCCTGGCTACAACATCCTTGTAAAAATACTTTGGTTACTTCTATTATGTATCTTAAAAATCAGATTGTGTTGCATCTTCTTAACCAAGTTTTTAAGCTCTGAAGTCAGTATTACATGTTAAGAGAACAAAACTACTATTAGTCTCAGATGCAGAAAAAAAAGAAAAAAATCAAGGTGCATCAGTCAAATTTAGAATGGACACACATTAAATTATTTCTGCCTAGAAACATCTACTAGTTACTCTTACCCAAAATCTTTGTTAGCTGTACCGTCCCTGTGTCTGCTCAATTCAGTCAATTTCCCTGGTCTCTGATTTTCCTTTCTACTTTAAAATCTATAAAAACTGTACTAGCCTGCCACTGAAAAGAACTATTTGCTTACTATACATATACAGACATTTCATTTTTGGCTAAGTATTTGAATTACTAAGTTATTCAACTAGAATGAACAGGTTACCTTATTATCAGAACTTCAACAATGACACTCAGCATTTTTCACAGTATCAGTTATGGTGTTACTTGTCTAAGACTCAAAGTTACCCAACTTTCCACAGTAACCTCTTTCAACATTAAGCAAGTGAGAATGCCAAAGGATCTGACCTGAGGTATTTCATTACCTTTTCTGCAATCAAAAAACAAACCGAACAACTAGATGCATTCATTTATAAACACTAAAGGAAATCTAAGATGAAACAGCTGAACTATTCACTGCTGTTTGCAACCTCTCAATCAGGGTTGGCTCAGGAAGATGACAAGCATGGAGTCAATTTTTAAACAAATGGACCACAAAACCCAAAGAAAAACAGAATAAGTACCACAGTGTCTACCCTGGGTAAGTTTCTAGAAACTGCAACAAAATCTTATTAATGAACAGAGTTAATCGACATATGGATGGAGTATAATACACCAGGTATACATGCTTTTGTAAAAGGAAATCATACCCAACAAACTTTGGAAAATATTAACAAGCATGTGGCTAATGGAAACACCAATTAAGCTGTCTACACAATTTTCAAAGTCTTTCAACAACATCTCTCAAAGGAAACTAAAACCAAACATACTAGAGATCTTTGAACAGATGAATAATTAGTTAAGGTATCAGGAAGTAAAGCAAGCTAGAATAAAGACAGGCTGGCAGTAATTGATTAGTTCATGGATGAAGGTAATTGGTAGAGACCCTCAGGGATCTGTGCTACTCAGTTTATTCATAAATAACTCTGAAAATTAGAACAAGCATATTAAGGTGATAAATCTGACAGTACCAAAGTATATCCAAGGTAGAAATCAGGATTCCAGTGAAGAACTGCAGAAAGACTTTAAAAATTTCATTGTCCAACTACGTAAACGTGAAGCAATGCATGAACATGCGGGACTTGTGAGCTGACAATTAACACTGAAGGATGAGACTCTAGTTTTATAGTAGGTTGTTCCAAGGAGTATCTGCTTAATTCTTGCAGCATCAAAAGGCTAATCCAGTATCAAGGTCGAAAGGAAAAAACAAAACCAAACGTAATTACTCCACATCATAAATCCAGCGTGCTCACATCTTGAATATACTATGTTGTTCTGTTTCTCTTTTACAAAAGAAAGATAAAATAGAATGGTTAAAAAACCCTAAAGTTAGAGAAGAACAAGAAGAATAAGAGGTATAGGAAGAACTTGATTGAGACTAGAAAAAGGTGATGGAGATACGAGTAAGTTTATGAACCAAAGTGACAGAGGGAATTAATTAGGTGCATGCAATGAAACTGGAAGGTATAAAATTGCTCTTCACATAACATTTTGATGCTTATGCAGACCTTTCTGAACACACAAAGAAACCTCATTCAGCTCTGATGTTCTAATACAGCTCTGATGATCTAAGGCTTAGGCTACTTCAGAGACTCCCCCTTCAAAGAAACTCTTCATCAGTAGAACTAAACACACACAAGCATGAGTACTGAGCCAGAACCGCCGGGGGAAAAAGAAAAAAAAAAAAACAAAACAAAACCCCCCCACCACACCACAAAACAAACAAACCACAAATAAATCCTGTCTTGTGAAAAGTTCAGCAGAGAGCTAAGGAAAATACACCGCTGTGATACAAGAAACAGGCCTAGCTGGTACTGAACAATGATACAGACATTTTACAATCAATGACAAGTAATCACAACTAGTTTTATGTTATTTTAAATAAAATACATCAACTTGCATATTATATTGAATGATTTTTCTTAATCTCAGTCTTTTGAAAAGCCTACATTCTCTCAAGAATCAAGTTTTAAAGAAATAAATGCCATTCAATGCCATTGGTTTTTTCAAACCTCCCCCAGTATAATTTCAAACCTTGATCTTATCCTACAAAGAAAAGGTGTTTATAAAAATGTCCTAGTGAGACTATTTAGTGGTTTCTTTCCCCCTCCAACGCTTTTCAGAATACGTGAAAGATTCCAAATTACAGAAATGGCTAAATCATGTTGTTTCAACTGAAGACTCAAGCTCTTAGTACAGGTGAAAGTCACACTACTCAATAACAGAAAAAAGATCTGAAAGCTTCCCCTCCAGTCCCGGAAATTAGTAAAGAAATCTAATCCATGCCACCATTCATTGCTTCATGAACTTCAACTCAGCGAACATTTATTCAGTCTTAAGTTTCTATTATTCAAACTCTATGGCTCTTTTAGAGAAAATTTCAAGTACTTGCAATTTCAAAGAGACCTATTTAATTGATCCACTGGTGACAGAACCAGGAGATGAAAAAAATAATAAAAATCGCTATTAGAATAGCAAATCATATCCTTACAGTAAGTAATGCAGATGAAAAAAATGTTACCTCATCATGTGTGTATCTGTAATCTGCCTTCTTTGACTTCAGATCCCATAATACCACTGTTCCAGACTCAAAGCCAATCAGAAGCTGCAATAATAAGCAGATACATGAAGTTTTTATAAGGATAAGCAAAATAATACCATTTGCCATTCCTGTAGTTCTTGCCCCAAAGGGATGCAGCATAATAGTACATGTAGTAACTACAAGTAGTTATGAAGACAAAAATTAGTGAGAAGCAGTGAAGACCTCAATGTTAGAGAGGTTTACTTTGTATTTGTTGTCATTCTCCTAAACTTCCAGCTAATACAACTGACATTGACACAAAATTAGAAAGAAAAGAAATAATGCATTCTTCTGAAGAGTCCCTGGAAATCCCTCTGGGTTCCAGAAAGGACAACATTAAACTTTCCTAAGTGTATTCCTTCCTGAGTGAAAATGGGGGGGTGGGGTGAGGGGGGTGGAAATGAGAACTTTTTATTGTGCATTTTCCTCACTGGAATTTGTTCTGCTTAGATTTGCTGGAAGAATACACTATCCTTCCTAAAGTTCTAGGTAATGATTCATTGTCTATAAAGTAACTATGTAATATAAGCTTTCTCCAGATGTTAATCACAAATGAGATAACTGGCTGAAGGAACACCAAGAACATTAGTTGTTAAGAGGAGGAAAGCTAGAGAGAAACAAGATAATTTTCCAAATGTTTTTATTAGAAGCAAGATTAAACCATTTCTGCAGGGAGTGAAGATTCAAATTGCTCACAGTAATAACAGTCTTGGCACTTGTTATATAGGAGAAGGCAATGCAGCTTCATCTTTCATAGTTGCTGGATCTACTGTGAGATCTTTCCTTTGATCAATGTTGCTACAAGAGAAGCAGCTCCTAGCATTAAGCAGCATGCCTTCACTCCCACTTCTTTTTCCCAGCATGGACATACAAAAAAAGTAGTTGGCTGCTGAGATTTACTCACTGTTGGAACAGCCTATTTCCTGTGAGCAAACTGAAGTGCCCTGAGGGGTGTCCTTCATATTACAAGTTAGAAAACAGAAAACACTGCCTTCACATGCATGCCATCGTAATCAAGGATAGAGATCTAAATCAGTATGGTCTATTGCCATAACTAGAGGTTTTGCCTAGACAGTCTTTTCAGCATGTTAAGATTTTCAAGGTGTACAGTTATTTCCAGTATGAAAAATAACAGCAGATCGCCTACCACCTTACAGATTAAATATTTGATCTATTTCAGTGCTATACAGCACTAAAATACCCTAAAAATAGCCACATTTGATCTATTAAAAGTGAACATTAGGGGTTTTTTTTCCCCTCCCTACAGTGTCATCTATACTATTATTTTAAATGATCTTGCTTATCATAAGCCATATTTTATAGTTTTCCTATTTTAACTTCAAAGATTAGAAAAATCACAGTGATTAGAAGGCTAACAGCATGAACAAATTTTAAAAGTGAGCACACAGGTGGTTCTTGCAACTGCACAGGATTTTCTCAGCAATATCTTTCTTATGAGAAAGAAGAGGATTGTGAGGTCAGATTCTAAAACACTGATTGATGGCCTGATTGATAAAACCAGTAATTCTTAAACTTTAATTAACAATAATTAAACATGGGGTGGGGTGGAATACACCAGAATTAAACAGATCATTTGTCTTTTCTGAAGTTACCGTAGCTTCATTGCATTCATATTCTAGGGTCCATGATTCTGGAAGGTGATTCTAACCTAATTCTACAGGGAAACCCATTAGTTATGCACTTACTGCAGTAACCTTCAACCCAATGAAAAAAAACCTCTACTCATGAAATTCTCCTTCTTGGACTGAAATCTCAGGTGTCTAGGATACAAGCTTTAACTAGTATGCTATTGAAACATTCAAACCACTGCTATCATCCCCTCTCTCTTCAGTTTTATCCACCACTAACATATCAAATGAAAAGCAAGTAAACCAAAAAAACATATTTCTCCTGCATATGTGGAACAGTAGTAGGCAAAATTATTTTCTCTCTCCTTGAAGATGCTTCACAAATGGGAGTTCAAAACTAAGATATTTCTGAGACGTTACACTAACAAAAATATTAATTCAGAATTTAATTTAATCTATTCAATCACTTATGCCCGATTAATCTAGAGCAGAGTCATTAATGAAAATCTGTTTAAAGTGGCATCAAGGCGTCTCTGGCTAAGTTATAACCATACTTTTGTCAGAGGTCTACATACTTTTGGAAGAAATACATGCAAGACTGCTGTTTTCAAATCCTTCTTTCATATTTTGCTTTATTCCTATTGTTAAAATTGAAGAAAACCCCTCCTGCTTACTCTTCTGCATGGACGAAGGGATCTGAACAAAAGTTGCAGTACACCACTGAGATTTGCTAAATAACTACACTGGGCACACAAGCTACAGAGGCTGAAGAACCTTCATCGAGTAGGTGAGTCATGTGATCCCATCCCAAGACTTGTAGAAGAGGTGTGTTACCCAAAACACAGACTTAGTCATGCAACCATGACTTAAGTGGGGAATACATGATTTGGTACTACAGTAATTGCTGTCACCTAGAGAAGGCATACTAACATTTTAACTCCTTGCTTTCTCTTTTAATTCATGAAGTCTTCACTGTGAATTAAAGTTACGCATTCTACGTTGGTTTTGCATGAGCTTCATATCAGATGTCCCAAAGCAAAGGGTAATACCTGTAGATCTACTTCAATAATACAGAAGGAACTCATGACCATTGAGTTCACAGCTCAAGTTGTTTTTTGTGGCTGCTATGTCACAGGACATAGAAATTGTCTTGCAAGGGCTTCAAGAATGCGTACTGTAAAACTTGACTTTGTCAAGATAAAAAGATGATTATGTTAACATTACCTCAAAAGAAGGAAAAGACAAGTCTAATACACAGCTCTTTCTTACATGTTTCAGTTGACTTTTCTGAAGTATCTAGCTATACTACAGACCAGTTAAAACTACAGGTTTTAAGCAATTTATTATAATCACTAGATGCTGTCTGCTAAATGAGAGTATGTCGGTTAGACCTCAAATCCCATAGAAACTGCTGCCTTGGATTAGCTAAACTAAAGATGAAGTACACAGTATTCTATATAAATATACTATATAAATAAGCATTTTAAAGTTGTGAAACAGCAACACCCAAGAGCATTACAAAGTTTATATAATTTCCATCTCACTATTTCTGCACTCAGGTTATGATTGGGTTTTTTGGTTACATCCTAATTTTTACCACCATAAGTAAAATTCTTCACTTTTATTTTCAAGAATTTTTGCAATTAAGCACTTTCAGCTGTATTTTCAAATGTTTCCGATTACAAGATGCATTCAGTTATTCCAGTAATGTGTCCTACAGTCATGTCCACACCTTGCTTCACATAATTTTCAGAGCCTAAAACCTTGACTGAGCCTCTCCTTATGCTTTCAACATTGTCCTCATCTACTTAATTGGTCCTTAAAAGCAGCATCTATACTTAAAAAAAGTCTTGCTTGAAAAATAATGTATTGAATAGTCTTTAAGTATATCCTACCTTTCCTTCATCCATTGGATTGTCACTAATGTGGACAATAGGTCCTGGGTGAGATTTGGACGACCTAAAGAAGAAATATTTCCATTTAATTAAAAAAAAAAAAAAATCCCCTGCCCAAAACCGCATCTGAAAGTGATTGCAAGTAATACAGATTCTGCATATATAGACTTCATGCAAGCAAGCTATTGACATTTCAGCATGGAGTCACTTTTACTTTTATCTTCAAGCCCATAAATACTTTCTGTCTATTTTTAGGCACTTAGTTTCTGTGTTTTTATAAGGATTGACTTAGTTACTGCTTATCTGAAACACAGAAAAAACATTGCCATTAGCTTTACAGTATCTATCTTAATGCTTGTTGTTACAGAATTGTCACAGTTGGATAAAAGTGTTTATTTTTATGCTGGAAAACAGGTCTTGCCATTATTCATAAACTGCCCAAGCTGGGCATTGTTAAAACAACACAGAGTTAAGATTTTACGTTGACTTCTTGCTATTGAAGAAGATGGACTAATGAAGAGCAGTGTTTGTTTCCACCGCCTTCAGCAAGTGATGGACTTCATGTATGTTTTGGAAATAGATGGAACATTCTGGGAATAAACTAACAGCACAGGAGCAGCAGCACACAAGTACATGTCTTCACCCACAAAACACTATATTTATATACACAAATTTATTATTAAAAAGGAGAAGCAATGACAATAGCTGTAAAATATACTTCGCTCTTGGAATAGCCTTATTTAAATTTATATTTTCAGCCAGCAATTTCATAATCAGCATGCATCAGCCCTCTTACAATGCATATCTTTATACTTTGGGCTTTAACCCCAAAACTGGAGAAGTGACATCCCTGCCCAAGTACCAGCCACATCATATTTCAACATATATTATTCTTGTAGTTCTTTATCACCACAGATAATGATTTTTAAGTCTATTTTGTCTATTTATGTCTATTCCAGGCATTATGATAAAATAGTGTTATAGGCAGAAACATAAATATTAGCATTAATACTTCACACTTATAAGAATAAAACATATTTACATGACTATGTACTTTGATCGTGTATTTGGTGTAGTAAGACTAATATGGAAAGGCCACTCTAGGTAACAATGATGTTTCTGCAACTGATGTTAATAACATCTGGGACACTTCTGTTCCCTCCCCTCAACAGAAAATACTTGATTAGACTCACAGTTCAATGGCTTTATTCCACATGATGACATAGCCTGAGAGAGTAAATGATTCCACATTGACAATGTGAATGTTTCCTCTTTCGGTGCCCACATATAGCCATTTACTTTGGAAGGGCAGATGACAAAATGTTATCCTGAAAGAGAAAGCCACCAAAAAAAGAATTAAAGTCTTCTAGATATCCTACACTTCAAGATCTATGTTGCCAAAAGGTAGAAGAAAGGCAATAGGTAAACAGGAAGAAATAAGACAAGTTACAGGTAGAGAAAAGTAGAAAAGCCAGTACATGACAAAAGTAAGAGATGCACAGACAATGTAAAAAACTTAGAGTAAAAAACAGAAACCAAGGTATTCTAAAACTATTAAGTCATTCAGATAAAAATCACACAGCCACCTTTGAAATTATCATACTGAATGTATTTGCTCAAGATTGCTGTCATTTTAAAGTTAACATACAATATTCCTATGTTATAATCTCCAAGTCTCCCTCTGAAACCTATCTAGTTTCAAGTTTTAAAGAATAAAGAATTTTTAGAAGTAGCATTATGCAGGTTAAGCTGGTTTCAAGTGAGGAGACAAAGGCAGAAAATAAAGCATAAGAAATCTAAGTTTACAGGTAACCCGAAGTATCCCCTAAAGAGCAAACCTAAAACCATTCCTAAACAATTATAAAAGTAGTTTAAATTTGGGGCTATTATTTTACTTAAACTGCATTTTAATTTTGTGCCTTAGAGTTTTCTCTTGTTAGAAAGAAGTACCCGAACAAAACCCAAAAGCTAATGACTGTTTGTAGCAGCAGAGGACTCTTCTTTGACCATAGCTCCAGCGCAAGTATTAGTATTTGAAAGCTTGGTTATTTCTGTCCTCTTGGGTCCTGCTTATTGTTTACTATTTCTTCAAAATTGATAAGGAAATAAAGTCTGTAGGAACTGAAGCTTCTAAAGGATCTGATTTTTCTACACAACAGAAATACTAACTTGAAATTAGACTAGAAACTTTCTGGAAACTCTAAGCCATTTTAATCTGGCAAGGTCCAATACTGAAAGAAATTGCTAACCTACTTGGACTATCAAACTTGGGCTTTCAGAAATGTTTCAGTGATAAGGTAAAATAATTATTCAATGGAAATTTGTTCTGTCAGCTCTAGTTCTTAGCTTTACAGATTTTTTTGCTCTTGTTTTCTCCCAGTTGGGCTCCCTTCTTGCCAAATCCATGCATTATTTCACAAGACTTAATAATTATTTATGCAAAGAACAGCTTTAGATCCTTTGCATTAGATGCTGTATATACACACTTCAGCACAAAAGCAAAGGCTAACAGTAGCAATAAAAAAAAAAATAGTTAATGGCTGAAGAGATGTTAATTTGTATTACAGGTTTCAGAAGTTAAGGCTTCTGTAGTAACACTACCTGGATCAAAAGTGTACCACTTTTTATATCACTAATTTCTTTCCAGTTAGGGAATTCAGTTTGCTCAAGCAAATCTTTAATTTATCCATTTTCTAACTTCCTTGATTTCTTGTGCTTGAATATTTAAGCCAAAAGGCTTCACTAAGTTTTTTCACTGATGTTTCACAGAAAAAGGACTATATACGAGATTTAAAATGCTCTTCCAAGTCACTGAACTTACAGAGATTGCAAAATTTTTACTAAGCATGGTAATCTGCACCACAGGTTAAAAACTTGAGTTTCCCCAACATCCTTGAAAAAAATATTTTATTGGAAGCCAAATCACATACGTACACTCACTTCCTAGGCAGGCCCCAAATCCTTACTGCCCAGTAACAGAGCTCTCCTGCTACAAGCAGGTCATGGGGAAGGGGAAAGAGATGCAGCATGAAAACATAAACCCTCAGCGCTCTGCATAACTACAGCTTCTTTCTCTGCCAGGACTCCACATGCCAGAAGCAGCTGGCAGCCAGATCAGTTGGATCTAAAAAGGTGTCCTAGCAGCCAGAAATAATATTGAGGAGCAGGGTCATGGGCCTATCTGTCTTGATCTGCGAGTTAATATCATCATTTACAGTTGTCCAACACTTTCATTATAAAAACCAATCTATTTCATGTCATTTAAAGGTGAGTAAAAGTTGGGGCTGCAACTTTGATTGCTATAGCAAAAGGGCAACACTTAAAGAAGGGTCCAACTCCTCAGTACTCTTGATACTCTTCTTGAATATGCAGCCATATTCAATTTACTGTCTCCTCTGTGCAAGTGAGATTAATTTTGTCAAGAGTTAGCAAGCAGTGAAATGATTCCACACCAAGAGAAAATTAGAGTTGAACAAGTAACTTCACAAAATGTTTACAAACTCTCAAAGGCAGGAGATTGAAGAGACTTCAAAATTGTTAAGTATAGGCACATATAAAACAGGGTTCTTAACCTTATCCTTCAACACGTGCTCTCACCAGTCTTCTACAATCAGAAAAAAAGTCTTGTATGATTTTTATATAACCTAAAAAAATATTCTTAGAGCTTTTATGTTTCACAGAACAACTGATGACTAGTTAAATCCAGAAAGATTTTGTCATGCTGAGCCTGCTATAATGAAAGAATAACCATTTCACCTTGAATGTGGTAAATGTTACTCTATTTGCAAATATGATTTTATTTGCCATTTCTTTATTTTCTTAATAGAAAAAGTTTGTCTTCCAACTTTAGACAAAAATATAATTGAATTTCTGAAAGTGATTAATTTCAGATAACTGCATTTATCTCAGCAATTTACAGAGTAACATTTCCAACATTAAAGTCCGTGTACTGAGCTTCTCTCTTCAGTGATTAAGGTTTCACCTTAAACTATGAGGATTTTAAACAACATTAGAAATGTTACAGCCCTCTTAAAAACTAAAATTCAGTGAAGCTATGACCATCTGAAGGACCAGTGACAACATACTAGCATGTCAACATACAAGCTACATTCAGTAGCCTCGCTTGCTCCATTGAAAATTGGACTGAAGATTAAAGGGATTCAAACTTATTTTGGAGGATGGAAACAAAAGGTCAGGATCTTCTTGATGGCAAGGCAATACCTGTTTATTTAACACTTGGCCAAGGACAGCTTTTTTTTTATCCTGAAAAATGCAGCTTTTTTTCTTTCAGAAACCTATCTTTCTGCCACCACAAGATTAGAATAATATACTCCATCCATAACATATTTTAAGATCAACAGAAGTGGAAGTTGCCATATAATGCTCTGGCCATTTCTACAACTCAAGCATTCTTCCCGCCCTCTCCTTACCCACAAATGGATACGTACATAAGTGTGGAAAATACAATCAATTGTTGGAAACGGATTGCAAAGACTACAGATACATTCAACCCAAGTAAAAAATTTTAGCATGTCTTTCTTGCACACAAACCCCAACTGCCTGAAAACTATGTATCAGTCAAAAGCAGAGTACCATACTCTTCCTCTCCTGTATCAAGCCATTCTGGCCAAAAGTACTAGAATAGAAGCATCTATAAAAAAATAATATACCAGTTCTGTGCATCTAAAGAGATAGCCTGGGACTGTCTGAGCCAGTGATCACAGAAAGCAGGCTTTTGCAGGCAGCTCTTCCATGGCACAACAGATTCCTCAAGGAAATCTCCAAGGAAATTTCAGCTACCTCAGTAAGTACAGTACATTTTGTGAAGCAGATTGAACTTTTAGCATAATGCAAGTATTGTGCACAGCACTTTATTCCAAATATTTCACTTCCCCATACCTGTACAAAGAAAAGAAAACCTTTATAGAAAAAAAACAATGCTTTAAAGAGATTTCTTTTTTTAATCTGAAATCTACAGTTTAATTTTAATATATGCTAACATCACTGCTAAAATGAGGTACTGTTATGCAACCCCAAAACAGTCAGGGTAGTTCTAAACTCTGCTGTAGCTGTACTTTTCCCTAAGCACAAAATCTTCTCCCTCACTGCATACATATTTGCAAAACTACTCCTTCCCGTTGCCCTCTTCCAAAAAACAAAAAAAAAACCAAACAAAAAAAACCCCAACCCACAAGAAGTTTTACTTTCTTGTGAAATGAATTTGTAAGAGTTGAACCAATAAGTCAAGAAAACAAAATTATATACAGAAAACCCAGTGGTTTTTTCCAAAGCAGTGGAAAACATTGATAAAAGAAAAACCTTCATAAAATATTTCTTGGTCTTATTGTACATAAAATATAATTTGTGCTATTGCTTATGTGAGAGTATTAGCAGTGACAGGAGAGTCTTTAAGAAGCCATTTGTAAACCTACTGAAGGGATTTCCTTTCTTAAATCCAGACCATGTGTCTTTTCTGATAAATCTGTCAAAGTTAGTTAAGAAAAATCTTAATTGTGGTTGTTTCACAATGTACATCAAAATAGTTATTATAGCAAGTGATAGTACTCCGTAGAGGAATTTAATTACAGAAATATCAGAGAATACAATTTATTAAATTAATATGTAAGTCACAGAATTAGGCTTTTAAGGGAGATATTAAGTAAAAATGACAGGCTGTTATCTTGAGTATATTATTATGACAACAGAAATCCTTCTAAATTAATCTTTACCTTTCCTTAGTCTACTGCATTATGAAGTATTATATGTTCTTCAGAATTTTCCGCTGCTTTCACAAAGCACAGTGACAAATACTTTGATGAATGACAAACACTGGTAACAGATTTTAAGTGACTAAAACTATTTCTAGAACATTGGGCTATCATTATGGGTCTGCAGTTACTGTAATTACACTAGCTGCTCAGATCATTGTTGTACATGCAAAATAAAAATTTCCTAAGAAGAAAAGTGTTAAGCTACCAAAGTTGTATTCTGCATACCTCCGTCTTCAACCTTTCACGCATGAGATAGCCACCATGTAAAATTCAGAAACTTAAAAGTTTAATTCTTATGTTAGTCTAGACTCCATGTCCATGGTCTCTTATCAAGTCTTCAATGGGCATAAAACGTCAGTGTCATAATGACATACTGATGGAAGCAAGCAGCGGCTGTGATTTTGCCAGACTGCTGCAAGGGGTCTATTTCCAGATCTGGTAACTGCAATAAGTTTAAAATACCTACCTGTACAAAAAAGGCCCGAAGGGACAAAAGGCACATGCAGAGGAAGAACTCCTCTTCAATGCATCCCAAAACTGTCCCCACAAAAGACTAT